GTGTGTGTGTGTGTGTGAGAGAGAGAGAGAGAGAGAGAGAGAGGTCTTGTTGCATGCTCATCTATAATGGGGAGTTCATGGGATGACACTGGGAATGGCTCAAGCAAAGTAAGGTTAGGAAGCAACTCGTAAGTGGGAAGCTGGACCACTGCATTGAACCATTTTGATCGATCTGAGCTGCTAGACAACAAGAACCAGTCGGTCCATGGTCTTCTCCAGGTTTCCCTAATGTGAATGGCTTGATGTTTGTGGCCTTGCAAAAGCATCAAGCAGCCACTTCTTGCTTGCATCACACTGATGAAATGGGCTTTCAACCATCAGAAATTTCACCGTTCACATGCCTTATTGCGCCTCAAATGGAAGTGATCGGTTGGAGTCTCCCAAAGATGTCATGTAAGAGTCTTATTTGCTCAACCGAGTCGAACCTGCTGCTTTTTCTTAGTAAATGAAGACAAAGAGGTTTGCTTGCTGTGACAGCACAATCCAGCAGCTCAAATGTTGCTCGAGTTTGATGTTTATGATGCCAGATTGCATGCTTTATTGCATGTTCTGCAAATTTGATGCAAGTCATGATTTTTAGACACGAGTCTACCCATTTCCAACGTAGACTTGGATGAATCTAAATCAAAACTAATATGTAAACTTGCATGAGTTTTATATGTTCTAATAATGATCTTATCTAGATTCATGTAGCAATTTGGATTAGATCGTAGTGGTTGCACCTTAAATCCGCATGAATTATTATGTGGATTCTTGTGTTCCTCATCATCATTCGACAAGAGAATTGGACAGACTTCCTCTGTGTACTCTTTGGTGCATTGAGGACAAGATTTTGAGCTTAGATGATGATGATGATGATAATAATAATAATAATAAGGTTTTTAAGTCCATATTACATTGCTTTAATATGTAGTGAATGGTTAATTAGGCTTTATTAAATAAATTTTAGACCCTAATTAAGAAAGTGATTAAACAAACATTACTTCCATATATATGTAGATGTTAGAGAGAAGCTTGAAAATACTGAGTTTCTTGCCCGGAACTAAAATTACATACACATATAATCTTTGTATAATACATTATATATATATATATATATATATATATATATATATATATATATATATATAATATTGTTGCATAAGTTTTTTATAATTATAATATAATAGTTAAAGTCATTTATATAAAATTATGGAGGATAGGCTTTTCATAGAACATGAGAGATGTATAAAATATATGTAGATATACATATATATAAAGGTTTCATAGAGTTTTTGGAGTTCTTTCAAATAAGATTCTTTCCTTTTTCCAATTCTAAATTGTTGAACGCTGTCAATTTTCATTTTTAATGCTCTATTAAATATGAGAAATCTTGGATGAATCATGTCTATATGTTGTCTATAAATCAAGCATAAACATGTGGAAAAATATTTTCAGTTTGATGACTATTATGTTTCTGAAATTAAAAGTAGGATGATATATGAGAAATGATATGGGCTACCAATTCATGTTGCATATGAACTAGTCTTTTAATCTCATCTTGCATGTAAAAAGAGTAGATACTGTCTCCACTGTCACCCAAAGATAATTGTGATCACCCATCTCTCTCTCTCTTCTTCATATGAGATAGATACATGGTTAAAGCTACCTAATTAAGTTTCCTCTAATTAATCAACCAGCACAGCAGCTTAATCCTTTTTCTGCATGCATCATTCTAAACCTTCAACCAAAACAGCTATTTCTTGTCATTAATCTACTGATTTATATGCACTTGATAAACAAGAAGAAAGAGATCTAAAGATCATGTGTGTGTTAACTCCATCTCCTTGCACGTAAGCTTCTTTCCTACCTCATGGGTTGAGAGGCCGATGACTCTCCTACATCCATCACCAACACAACAGTATGAAGCTCCGACGGTGGCGCCAGAGATGGCGGTGCACCAGCTACATCAGCTGTTTTCACCCCTTCGACCGCCCTCCCTGGCGCTGCGTCGGCCCGGCACAACGGGCACGTCCGGTGAACCTGCAGCCACAAGTCGACGCACGCCGCATGGAACCTGTGGTCGCAGCTCGGCAGCACCCTCACCACCTCCCCCTCCTCCACCACACTTAGGCAGACGCAGCACTCCTCGGAACCGCTCCTCCCGTCGGCGCCTCTTCGGTAGGCGAACGAGGGGAGGGCGGCGATGGCGGAGGGATCGAGCCCGGGCTTCTGCCGGTCATGCCAGCGGCCGTCGGGTTCCAATTCCAGGCAGCGGGTGTAGTGGATGACGACGTAAACGACGATCAAGAAGAGGAAGACGCCGATGAGCCCGATGGTGGTGCCGGAGCTGCAGCAGGCCGTTTGGTCTGCCGCGGACGCGCTGCCGTTGTTGGACATGAGGCTTAACTATGCATAGAGATGAGGTGTGGAAGAAACCTGTGCGGCTTCTATTCGTCTTTTTTGGTACAAGAGTTGACTGACACGACTACTATAATATACTTCAGAAGCAGTAATTAGCATCGGGCATTAATTATGAGTCCAAATGTATGATTCGATTGAAGAAGGTGATATACATATACATATATATATTGTTCGAGCCATATTCTCGGCCCTCCTTATGAATTGCATGTAGTAATGTAAATGGAGTGGCCATTGATCTGTAAGAAGAACACCGAATGCTTCTTCTGCTATAAAGCTCGAGATTTCGCTTTCGTCATGTAGAATTCCTCTGCTGTACATGAGAGCTTCTTCCTAAGTGCAAGCAGATGTCATGCATGGGGGAATTAATGTCATGTTACACGTACAATAACGACGAGGAAAGATGCTTGCACTTATAAGGCAGAAGCCTCACCCTGTCGCCATCCTTCCATCACGGCCAGTCACACCGCGCACACCGCCATGGCCGCCGCCGCCGCCTCCACGTCGCCACGGACGTGAGTGTTCCTCCCTTATTTTCCCGTACACGAAGGTGGGCAGCGCGGCGATGGTGACAGTTGCACCGGTGCGGCCTTGGCGGTCGCGCCACCGGAGGTAGCGAGCAGAGACGGCGGTATTCTAACACTCTTCTCCTGAATGCTCAGAACAATGAGACATGCTAATATGATCCGTTGCACCACGGATCTCGTCTCCTTCAACACGGCTTGGAGGAAGTCAAGGGATAGGGTGGAGAGGTGAACCGGTAGAATGGTAGTCATGGTTTCGTGTTCAAAGGTCGTTCATTCCCGGTGCTTCTCCGTGCATGAATCCAAACTACACATATCTTCTGAATGGAGACGCAGTGAGCGATGGCTGTAAGCATAAAATCAGTAATATATTATAAGTTACGTGACTAACTTTAATGTTAGGATTAAAATTAAATAATATTAAGATCGGATTCATGAAATGTACCTATTGAGTAACTTTATACCATGGTTGATGGATCAACATGGCTTGGTTTGATCCCGGGTGCACATAACCACCCACGTGGCTACTTGAACTAGGGTGGTCGATGTTAGGTCGAGTCGGGCTTCATCTCCGAGATCGATCCAAGGTAAAGCAAGGAATTTCTCTTCCTCTCCCGTCGGGTTGCTATTTCGTCGTTAAGTTCTTGCACACAAGCCATGGTTGGGAGGGGGATTTCTTGACTCAACCCCTCCAAAGCTCACGTTAGTGTTGAGTGGGGTTAGAGGAAGTTGAGGTGTTCAAAATCCCACCCCTATCGAGCGACATAACTCAAGGATTAGGCTAGCCGAGCAACACTACTCGGGTGCAGGACTAGCCGAGCAACATTGCTTGGGCGTAGGATTGGTTGAGCAACACTGCTCGGGCACATGACTGATCGAGCAATGCTACTTGGGCACTAATTTGGTTGAGCACACTGCTCGGCCACTGGGCACTAGACTAGTCGAGCAACACTGCTTGGGCACTAAGCACTAAATTGGTCGAGTGATGTGACTTGGGCACTAGGCTAGTCGAGCAACACTACTCAAGCATATAGGATTGGCTGCAAAGTGTGGCTCGGGCATCGGACTGGCCGCGAGGCATGGTTCGGGCATTGGACTAGTTAAGATGCAACTCAGACATTGGACTGGCTGCGAGGCATAACTCAGATATTGGACTGGTTGAGAGGTGACTCGGACATTGAACTGGCCACGAGGCATGACTCGGGCATTGGACTGGCCAAGATATGACTCGGACAGTGGACTGGCCGTGAGGTGTAGCTCGGGCATTAGACTAACCGAAACGTTACACAGACATTATTTGGCCAAGGTGCACAACTCGGGCACTATTTGGTCGAGGTTCATGACTTAGACAATATTTGGGCGAGGTGCACAACTCGGGCAATGTTTGATGGAGGTGCACAACTGGAATACTATTTGGTCAATGTGCACAACTTGGATACTTTTTGGCCGAGGTGCATGACTCGGGCACTGTTTGGCTGAGGTGCACGACTTGGATACTATTTGGCCGAGGTACACAACTGAAATATTATTTGGCCGAGGTGCACAACTCAGGCACTATTTGGCCAACATGCACAACTTAGACACATTTTGGCCAAGGTGCACAACTTGGATACTTTTTAGCTGAGGTGCATGACTTGGAAACTGTTTTGTTAAGGTGTATTGTTGAATCTCATATTTTAATGATGAAATCAATTGATGTGTTTGTGATTGATCTGCATTTTGAGTGACGCAATAAGCTATGATTAGGGAGAGACAATTAAAGCAGGAAGAATCATGTTGAGCCGTAGTGGAACATGTCAGAAGATTGGACGTCAAGCCGGATGATCGGTCGATGTATCGACAGAAGGCTTCGGGCCATGAAGAGTGGAAATTGCGCAAAGGAAATCGAAGTTGCAAAGGTCAACTGGTCGATTGGGCAATAGGTCACAAGAGAGGATGATGCGCCGAAGGATCAGATGAGCATCGGATGAACCAATGACATGTCGGACAAAGGATTCATGATTTATAATCATTTATCTTCGATTGAAGTAGTTTAGGGGGCTAATTGAGTTAGTTTTTGGTGTAATCATGCTAACTCAATTAGGGACCAATTGAGCCTTAATTAGAACTGATTTGAGCTTATTGGGAGGCTCATTCAATGACCCAAAAGTGGGCTAGGTAGTGGCACTGCTAGAATAAGCGGTGGAACCGCATGTGAGTTGGAAAACACAAAAAATCTAGTCTTTGAGGTTGTTCGGGCATTGTTTGGCCAAGGTACATGACTCGAGCATTGTTTGGCTGAGATAAACAACTCGGACACTGTTTGGCCGAGGTGCACAACTTGGACACTGTTTGGCCGAGGTGCATAACTCAGGCACTGTTTGGCCGAGGTATATGACTCAGACATTGTTTTGACGAGGTGCACGACTCGGATAATGTTTGGTTGAGATTCATAACTTTGGCACATGACTAGTCGAGATTTATAACTCGGGCACATGCTCCGCTATAGTGGGCCCCTTTTTTTTATATGCACACCTTAGGCTCATTTACTTCCAGCATCATCGTGGCGGGCCTTTTTCTTTCCCGATCTGCTCACATGGGTAGCTCCTGGTGAGACCTATTGTGTGACTCATCATGCTTTCTTGTCATCAGTGCCTCAGTAATAACATCTTGGTTGGCCCACTACAACATCTTGAGAATGATCGCTGGTGGCCTCTCGACTAGCGAGCAAAAGAACTTTGAAGGCCATAGGCCCGTCGAGAACATATGTATAAACCAAAGAGGGGTGGGCATCTGAAACCCCTCGGATCTTAGTAGCGAAGCAGGTGACAAAAAGGGAGAGGGATTCACCCTCCTACCTTAGCTTGAGGAGCATGGCCACGGACGGTTTAGGTCACACACTGGCTAGGAAGTAAAGCTCGAGTTCCCTTGCAAGATGATCAAAAGATGAGACTAAGGACGACCTCAATCGATTGTACCACATCCGAGCCAAGCCTTAGAGGGTGGTAGGAAATAACCAACACATCAGAGCATCGGAAGTGTCGTATAGGGCCATTTGGTCCTGAAAGGTGACAACATACTCCATTGGATTTGAGCCACCATCATAGGCCTCTAGCATCGGGAGGCGAAAGTTGAGGGAGATAAGCTTGTCCTGAATTTCTTGGGTAAAGGGGGACCCAACCGAGGTACTTTTCCCGAGCTCCTCCGTCGAGTCAGAAGATAGGGTGTAGGCTTCGAGGAAGGTCGAGGCAATGTGTCTGGGCATAGAAACGTTGCACTCTACCATTGGCCTCAAGTGTCCCGATTGCTCAACGGTTGGGGGGTGGGCATCTGGAGCCAGAGGTGGCTGGTCGATTGGGGTGGCATTGTGAGGTGTAAGGGATGAGTATAGGTTGGATCACAAGCGACAACCGTGGGGGGAGAACCTTTTGCTGAGGTAGCTAGAGTATGATGGGTGTGATTGTTTGCATCATCCTAGCTAACGCTTGCACTTGGTGGGTGTAAGGATGAGTATAGGTTGGATCATGGGCGACAACCATGGGGGGAGAATCGTTTGCTTAGTTAGCTAGGATATGAGGGGTGTGATGGTCTGCATCATCCTAGCTAATACTTACACTTTGTGGGTGAGGTTGAGGAACGTCTGGACGGAGACGACTTGGGAGGCAAGAGCCCAGGGTTGTTGAATAAATGCCAATAGTGCCCCGAAGTCCAAGCCGAGGTGCTTCCATCCATATACGAGAGAGTGAGGAGTTGCCCTTTGAGGTCGAAGGTGAAGATGGTGGTGGGTGCCTTCTTGCCAAGGTGTTCGTTGGAGTTGCTTGGTGGTGGACGCTCTTATGATATCGGGCCCTCCTTCTAGCGTCAAAAATATTTAGCAACTTTATATTATAGCTGATAGATCAACACGTCTTGGTCCGATCCCGAGTGCGCAGAGCCACCCACGTGGCTACTCGAACTAGGGTGGTCGGCGTTAGGTCGGGTCCAAGCTTCATCTTTAAGATCGATCCAAGGTAGAGCAAAGAGTTTCTCTTCCTCCCTCATCGGGTTGTTGCTTTGTCATCGAATTCTTGCACACAAGCCGAGGTCAAGAGGGAGATTTCTTGACTCAACCCCTTCGAAGCTCAAGTCAATGTTGAGTGGGATTAGGGGGTTGGCTTTTATACCTACGAACGAAGGTCGATCGTACATGGTATGTTAATGGTCGTTGACTCCTTGAGCAACCAACTCGTACTTTTTGTGTGGGCGCCGACCAACCTACATGAATCGACATAATGTGGCACTGTTCCGAACTTTCTAGAAGGACTTTATACTATGCGGTGCTATCTTGTAATGCTCCAGACAACGCGAGAATAAGCGATCGTCCCATCCGAGTCCGAGGTGTCATGTCAACACAGTACACCATATCAACCGTGAGGCTCGACATTGGTGTTGACATGGCTGCTGACTGTTGTCGCGGGGGTGGTACCAGAATATACCCTATGATCATAATCATGCGATATATACATACATACTTATGTCAAATGTGGATCGATGTATATATCGATCACTCAGCGTCGGCATAGTCTTCGGTGGAAAATTGGCGCCGTAGGAATTGAGGATCGTCCCAAGGCAAACTGGGTAAGATATATGCGAGTGTTGCCTCAGCCACACGCCGCGTAAGGATCCCGTCTTATTGAGCCTTAATGTGGGTCCCGCGGGACTTCGTACTGGTACCACCACTTGTTGGGGTTGGTGGCTCCGACTAGGCGGGTGATCCGAGCCTGGTGGGGCCCACCTGTCACGTCGGAGAATGGGAAAAGAAAACGTGAATCCTGGGGTCCGCCGAGACAGGTGATCTCCAAACTCCTGCTTTCGGAATGGGCCGCGTAGGAGCCCTAAGCGGAGCAGCGTCGGCATACGCATCGTAGCGAGCAATGTGCCAGACACGCTCCACGTGATGAGATGCGGTGAGCGACGGAACCATTCGCACATCGATGACTCCGATCTCATCCCTTCGTAAAGGCAAGCAGCTGCTCGCTTTTCCCCCTTCCCTCTCTGTCTCTCTCTCTCGTACTGCTGCTGTTGCTGCGAAAACGGAAGCCCGCATCTCCCGAAGTCCAATCCCCAAATAGATCTCCGCTTCCCGATGTCCATTTAGGGTTCCCGAAGGCGCTCAAAATTCGCTTCGCCCACGCAATAATTCGCCAAAACCCTCTCAAGATTTCCGCCTTCCCCAGGATCCATCGGCCGCCGGTGCTGTCGTATCCTTCTGGCGTGCATGGCGTCGGCGCCTCCCGCCGGTGGCGGCAAGGTCTACACCCGCAAATCCCTCAACAAGGCCCCCAAGCGCTCCTCCCAGCCCCGTCCCCCTCCGCCGCCCCCAGATGACCTCGATTCCCCCCGCCGCCACCGCTCACCCCCTGCCGCCTCCGACGACGCCTCCTCCGGTCCCAACCGACCCTCCGTCGGCCCGTCGCTCGCCAACGGCCACGGCCCTCGCGGCCTGGGCGTCGCCGTCGGCCTCACCTGCCGGTCGCGGCAGGAGGCGCGGGAGCTGCGGCGGAAGCTCACCGCCGATCTCGACTTGGTCCGCGCCCTCTCCAAGCGGCTCGAGGCCCACGAGCTCCAGCTAGCCTCGGCTGCCGGGTACACTCGCTCCCAGCTCTCTGTTACCGACCCCAACACCCCCGGATCTGCAAGGAGGGCGCCCGACGTGACCGCGCCCTCTGCGACTGCTGGCTGGTCTCGACGCCAGCTTAGTGTATCCGTACCGGCCTCTGAGAATAACCCGAGCGAGGGCGCGGAGAAGGAGAAGCGGACTCCCAAGGCGAACCAGTATTACCGGAATTCTGACTTCATCCTTGGGAAGGAGAAATGTGGCCCCAGTGACCAGCAGGGCCACAAGAAATCGAAGGCCATTGGTGGAAAGAAGCAATCGTCCGAGTTGCCTGATGGTGGCGGTGCACATTTGGTGGATAAGAAGCTCTATGCGCAGGCATTCAAGAGTTGCAGCGTGCTGCTCTCGAAGCTGATGAAGCACAAGCATGGGTGGGTGTTCAATGTGCAGGTCGATGCGAAGGGCCTCGGCTTGCATGATTACTATACCATCATCAAGTGCCCGATGGATCTTGGCACCGTGAAGTCCCGGTTTGCCAAAGACTGGTACAGTTCGCCTTATGAGTTTGCTGAGGATGTGAGACTGACTTTTCGGAATGCAATGACTTACAACCCCAAGGGGCAGGATGTCTATGTCATGGCAGAGCAGCTTCTTCAGATATTTGAGGAGAGGTGGCCTGCCATAGAGGCTGAGTTTGCACACCATGCTCGCCAACCAGTAATCCAGACGCCTCCACCACTGGACTTGAGGATGTTGGAGAGGTCTGACTCCACTGTGCATCCTGTGGCAGCTGAACCAATGATGAAACCAGGAAATCATCCAACACACATTGGAAGAACGCCAGCTCCAAAGAAGCCAAAGGCTAAAGATCCGAACAAGAGGGATATGACATTTGAGGAAAAGCAAAAGCTGAGCAACAACCTGCAGAACCTGCCCCCAGAAAAGCTGGAGGCTGTCGTGCAGATTATTAAGAAACGGAACTCGTCCCTGAGCCAGCATGATGATGAAATCGAAGTAGATATCGATAGTGTGGATGTGGAGACTCTCTGGGAACTTGACAGATTCATTACAAATTACAAAAAGACTCTAAGCAAGAATAAAAGGAAGGCAGAGCTTGCCATTTCAGTAACACAAGCAGCTGAGCGTAATGCACCTGAAGTGGTTCATAAAATGGTATGGCTATAATATGTTAATGTGCTTTCCTTCTCTGCAGAAAAGTAAGACAGGTATATAGTAAGGGTAAACATATTTATGTCACCTTTCTTGTTACTCCTGCAGATTGAAGAGCCTATTGCTTCCGAAGAACCTGAGAAATGTAAGACATACAAAACTTGTATATTTCAGTTCTTCCTTAGATCATTGTTATTTCCTTTTATAATTATGGGTTAATTGAAAAGCAGTGGTTGATGAGAAGTATGTAGCTTCTTCATCACCGGTTGGAGGAGAAAACAAAGGGGATAATGCAATTAGATCAAGTAGCTCCAGCAGTTCTAGCAGTGATTCTGGGTCTTCATCCAGTGGTAATGAACTCTCTCGATCACAAATGATTTGTCTTGTCTCTTAGAAGGTTCTGAGCAAATAAGTCTGAGTTGTTTATTTACTATCTAATGTAAATTAAGATTAAGCACTTAAATTCAAGAGGCTTTCTGCAGATTCTGGCAGTGAAAGTTCCTCTGCATATGGCTCAGATGCAGCACACTCACACTCACCTAGGACATGAACCATTTAAGGTCGGTTTTAATTATTTCCATATCTGATCAACATGCTGTTAGATTGACATATTTGGGTGATTGTGTTTTAGGCTAAATGTTGCTTGTAGCATAATCAATGGCTTATTTGATTACTATTTGTTGGTTATAGTTTGACTCCTTGATATGCCAAAGAACATAAATACCTCTTTGCTTGAAGGAGTAATGCCATCGACATCTTTGTCCCTTCCCCATATCTTGCATTGGCATGAACTGCCCTTTTTGATATGTGAAACAAGTTTGTAATGACATTTTATAATTGACTGGAATATATATCATCAGGATGTGTTGCCATTTTTTGCACATGCACCATTGAACTTTGTGGTCCAATATATAGTTTACTTTATTTTCCAGTTTATGGAGTGCTGGAAGGTGGTAAAATCTTTGTCGTGTCAAAGAAGCAAATACATAGCCCTTACACCTGCTTTTTCAGGAGTGAGAAATATTTTTCTGATACGTCATTTATTGCTTTCGAAATAATCTTGTCACAGGGGGCAGAACTATGTCCCAGCTGCTTAATTTAGAGCTCTAGATGTAGGTACATGAGTGACTTAGGGCTATAAGCACTAAATAAGATAAATTAAATAATAGTTCACCC